TTGAAACCTTCAGGTGAAAAAAGTGATATCAATTTAATTTGTGTACAGTGTTGCATGATGGTGCAATTGCCAGTCAAAGTAGTGCAGTGACGAATAGCAAAAAAATGCCCTGGTCATGAAGCCGGTAAAACCTCCTGGAGGTCAAGTGGTTAAATGCTGTACAGATAAAGTATTTCCTAATGTTTTTTTCCAGTTACATATTGACATTTTCAGGTTTTTAAACCTTCAGGTGAAAAAAAGTGTATGCATTTAATTTGTGTACAGTGTTGCATCACGGTGCAATTGCCAGTCAACAAATAGTGCCTGGGACGAATAGCAAAAAGTGCCCAGGTCATGAAGCTTTTCAGGTTTTTAAACCTTCAGGTGAAAAAAAGTATATAAAACTTTCCAGAGGTCAAGTGGTTAAATGCAAAAAGTGCCCATGTAAAACTTTGCAAGATAGATAAAATATTTCCTAATGTCTTTTTCCAGTTACATTTTGAAACCTTCAGGTGAAAAAAGTGATATCAATTTCATTTGTGTACAGTGTTGCATGATGGTGCAATTGCCAGTCAAAGTAGTGCAGTGACGAATAGCAAAAAATGCCCTGGTCATGAAGCCGGTAAAACCTTACGGAGGTCAAGTGGTTAAATGATGTCCAGATAAAATATTTCCTAATGTCTTTTTCCAGTTACATTTTGAAACCTTCAGGTGAAAAAAGTGATATCAATTTCATTTGTGTACAGTGTTGCATGATGGTGCAATTGCCAGTCAAAGTAGTGCAGTGACGAATAGCAAAAAATGCCCTGGTCATGAAGCCGGTAAAACTTTCGGAGGTCAAGTGGTTAAATGATGTCCAGATAAAATATTTCCTAATGTCTTTTTCCAGTTACATTTTGAAACCTTCAGGTGAAAAAAGTGATATCAATTTCATTTGTGTACAGTGTTGCATGATGGTGCAATTGCCAGTCAAAAGTAGTGCAGTGACGAATAGCAAAAAATGCCCTGGTCATGAAGCCGGTAAACCCTTCCAGAGGTCAAGTGGTTAAATGATGTGCAGATAAAATATTTCCTCATGTCTTTTTCCAGTTACATTTTGGAACCTTCAGGTGAAAAAAGTAATATCAGCTTCATTTGTGTACAGTGTTGCATGATGGTGCAATTGCCAGTCAAAGTAGTGCAGTGACGAATAGCGAAAAGTGCCCTGGTCATGAAGCCGGTAAAACTTTCCGGAGGTCAAGTGCTTAAATGATGTGCAGATAAAATATTTCCTAATGTCTTTTTCCAGTTACATTTTGAAACCTTCTGGGTGTCCTGTTAATTAATTTAAAAAGAATGTTATAAAAGTCTTGTTTTATGATTTTTTATAAACTCGTTCCTGATTTTGCATTTTTTAAATCTGAATTTTGTTTGCGTCGTTATATTCTGAATATTAGTTAGAAAGGAGGAAAAACCACTTATAGGTACAGTTATACTACTATATTAGCAGACTGACATCTATTGATCTGGTTGGCTAATTGAACTAATTTATCTTCTTCATGTTTCAGATATTGGACATAGACAGTTGGCAGGTGTTTCAGGTGAGCTCATGCCTGCTTGTCCAAGACGAGACCACAACAATTCTTTTATATGTACAATAATAACCGTGTGTTCTTATATTTTTGACATTGTTTTCAAACTAACGCAATGAAATGTCTGCTGTCAATAGAAAATTTGAAAAAACCTTTTTTTTAGCCCCGTAGTCATGCACAGAGGGGATGATTCCTACTGTTGTAGCTCAACTAACTGATGTTTATCACAGATGCCTGAAATATACTTGTCGATGTAATTTGTTAGGAAGTAATACAGATGTCCAATTGACTACAAAGGGTTGCCACCATGCATAATTATAAGAGGATCTGAGGCTTTCTCTGCGAGCTACATACAGACATAAATAAAATATGGAATGCATTGCATGGATGTAAGTTATTTGCAAAGCTTTGTAATGGCAGGCAGGCAATGTTGTGTTGGAACCACAATCACAACACGTGTTATACTGTATTGTATACTGGGTTATATTTCATAAAAGGATAGCATTTGTGGTACTGCTTTAACCTCCCTGGCGGTATGATTATTTCTGATTTTTGGTGCTGAAAGCGGTACCACTCCCATTTTTTTTTTTTGCATGGAAATATGTAGTTTTTTATTGTAGATACATTTCAGAATAATAGTTGGGGTCCTAAATTCTTCACTCCTCTTGAATAGACCTGGCATTCCCAGCAGGAGTAGCCAGATAACATGGAACCATTAACCTCCCTGGCGGTATGATTATTTCAGATTTTTGGTGCTGAAAGCGGTACCATTTTTTTGCATGGAAATATGTAGATTTTTTTATTGTAGGCTGTAATTTTTAGGAATAACTCACTGAAATCTGTCCCGAGCAAGAGTCTATTAAACATCACTCCCGGGTAGGATAACATAAAATTTGAAACACGAAATCATAAATTATAATTTAATAAATAATCATAAAAAATAGTAATAATATAATAATAATAAAATTTAATTCAATAATATAATCAAACCAAAAACACTGAAATTTGAAATACAGAGGCAAATTCGCACATCGCTGAGCAAAGTCGCAAAATCGTTTTCAGTGTCTGATGACGAATTTCCCCACAAATCATTATCACTCAATTCTGCAAGTGGTTCTGATTTACTATCGCTGTTCTCTAGCCGGTCTTTTGACGTAAAGGGGCGCTTTTTGGACGCCATGGACTTTTCTCAGTTTCCAGGCAGAAAGAACAGTCAAAATGCAGGCAGGGCACAGGACAAAGCAGTAGGGACAAAATGTATGTGAAATGCATTGAAACAGCAATGTTTTACTCTATAATAATCATTAAAAAAAAATGACATTTTTTAAAAATGTCAAATTTGCCGCCGGTTCCGGCGCCCGTACGTCCTGCCGTCACAGGGACCAGGACACGGAAGCCGGATGCCAGCATCGGCCGGAGGAGATGGCCGGGGACGCTGCAGGGGACACATCGCGGGAGCGAAGGACAAGGTAAGCGCTGCAGGGACTCCCTGAGCAACGCCGCATGGTAAGCCCGAGTGTAGCTCGGGGTTACCGCTCTTGGTACTGAAATTTTACCCCGAGCTACACTCGGGAATACCGCTAAGGAGGTTAATGGAATATGGCACACATGTCCTGTTAGTACTTACTATGTTCTTTTACCAGTTGGACCTTATTTACACCATGTACAGAGATGTGCATTTTTCTCTCGATATGGCGCAAAGAAAACAATTGTTTTCCATGTGCCCTTTCCACACCGCAACACTAGTGTCATATGCATATTTTTTTTGTGCAGAAATAAGCACCATATAACAATAACATTGTGGTGTGATCAGGGCACATACACCAATCAACCATAACATTATGATGTCCCACCTAATATGGGTGTAGCACTCACCCCCAAAGGAGCCATTAAGTATTGGATCCACTTTTCAGGCTTCCACTCGAAGTCAGTAACCAATCCAAGAGCTTGTTTTTGTTGTTTCATTTGGGGATAAGCAACTTGGATTAGGGGTATATGGGATGCTCACGTGAGTTGCAGTGATAGCTCTAAGAACAAACTTCCTGATCATGTACACAAAGGCAGATCCTGAACTTTCTACTTCTCTTAATGCATCAATAGCACAATCTCTTCTAGGTGAACTCTCTTCAGAACTAGGAAATGCCCATCCACCTAGCTGTCCTCTGAAGAGTACACTGGAGCAAGAGATTCTAAGACAGGCCTGCAGCAATGTTCCAGGGAGAACTGCTTAGGTATTGCACTCAGCAACCCTCTCTCTTATTGGCCCCAGGGGTGTAAAGGTACTCACGCTGTCCTTGTATCCTGTAGCTCTGGATAAATCACGTTCAGGCCTCTCATTGAGCCAGTTTCTGTCCCTGCTTGCAGGTTGTCCTTTCATGGTGGAATGTAAGGTATTGGAACTCCCTTTGTCAGCTTCCATTCCTTCCCTGCAGCCTCCAGCCTGAAGACAGACCCCCCCTTGCTGGGGTCCCCTCCTAGGCTACACAGCAGCAGCTTCAGAAATCCATTTTCCACCTGACTCCAGAACCCTGCTGAGATGGCTTCTTATATCCAGGGGCAGTCTGCCACACTACCAGGGCCTCCAGCCTGGGATTGGTCAGACTCCCATAAATATGCAAATCCAGGTCTCCATCCCTTCACCCACTGGCTTCTGGAAGCTTCCATGGACCTCCAGAACCAGGTGAAGGCTATAGAGGCCCAACCTGCTGAGTCATCCAGCCTAACTTGGTCTGACCTGGACTTGACCCCCACTCAGACATGCTCACTCCAACTACTGAGTGAGCCAATCACATTTTCCCTATTCTCTAGTGCCAATAGAGGGTGCTACACTGGGTAGGTCCCCTCTTTGCCTCCAAAACAGCCCTGACCCATCACAGCATGGACACCACTAGACCTTTAAATGTATGCTGTGGTATCCGGCACTAAGCCATCAATAGCAGATGCTTTAAGTACTGTAATTTGCGTCCATGGATCACATTGTTTTTCTAGCACATGCCACAAATGCTCAATGGATTGTAATCTGGAGAATTAGGAGGCCATCTTAACGTCTCAGACTCATTGTTGTGTTCTCCAAAGATATTCTTGAGCCATTTTTGCAGTGTGGCTAAATATGTTATCCATTTGAAAGAGGTCACTGCCATCAGGGAAGATCAGTTCCATGAAGGGATGTACTTGGCCAGAAACAATGTTTAGGTAGGTGGTATGTGTCAAAGTAACATCCACATGAATATCAGGACCGGGGCGGACTGACCATTTGGAGACTCGGGCACTGCCTGAGGGCCCGGGGTGAGTAGGGGGCCCAATGAGATGCCCCTTTTTATAGGCTTTTTTGAGTTTGGGCAAGAACACAGGGGCCCCATGATCCCCTATTGCCCGGGGGCCCCATGAGTTGTCAGTCCACCCCTGATCAGGACCCAAGATTTCCCAGCAGAACATTGTCCAAAGCATCACACTGCCTTCACCAGCTTGCCTTCCTCCCATACTGCATCCTGCTGCCATCTCTTCCCCAGGAAAGCAATGCACATGCACCTGGCCATCCACATGATGTAAGAAAACATGCTTCATCAGACCAGGCCACCTCCTTCCATTCCTTTGTGGTCCAGTTCTGGTGCTCATGTGTCCATTCTAGTCTCTTTGGTCTGTGGACACGGGTCAGAATTGGCATCCTGACCATTCTGTGTCTACACAGCCCCATACACAACTAACTATGATGCTCATTTTCTCTGCTTTCAACATATCAACCTCAGGGACAACATGTTTATTGTTGCCTAATATATCCCACCAATTTTCAGATGCCACTATAACGAGATAATCAATGTTAATCACTTTACTTGTCAGCAATTGTAGCGTTATGGCTGATCGGTGTAAACAATTGTTTTCTCTGTGTCCTTGCACAAAATGCACATCTCTGCACACTGTGTGACCAAGCCCAAAACATTCTATGCAAGTCAAATCTGCATGTTTCTTTCTATCAGTTTTTATGCACATATGGTGTGAATGAGGCCCTCCTTTAGAAATGTAGCAAAGCCTTGTCCATGTATCTTCGGAGACAGACATGTTAATGGATATTGATCTCTTTTTAAACCTTATTTCATTCTTACTGTTTGCTAGCATAAAAAACTCCAGAGTACAGTAATTGTCTCTGACACATCTAGCCTCATCTTGTTGTATTACCCTACAGCATCTAATCAGATTTAAACTTTCACTTCAAGTTCAAAGATAATTTTCTTGTAGTAGAATAATAAAATGTGTTATTTTATGTCTTCGGGAAAATCAAAGGAAACAAACATATTATTTCTCTGTGTTTTATTTGCAAAGTTTTAGGTTCCTAGTACTTACAAGGACTAATCAAAAAAGCTCACCAAAGGCAATTATATGCAATATATAGGCAAGTATATATCAAAAAAATTAAATGAACACTCTGAAAACACATCGGACAATGACAGACAAATGTCAATGAGCAGTTTTAGCTGCCTGCAGCAGAAAACTCAAACTATTTTTTTGGCTCTAAGGCTTAGAGATAAAATTGAAAAATATAATACTCAAATGATACACTGCTCAAAAAAATTAAAGGAACACTTTGAAAACACATCAGATCTCAATGGGGAAAAATCTCATGCTGGATAGCTATACAGATATGGACTGGGTAATGTGTTAGGAGCGTAAGAATGCCCCATCGCTTGATGGAAATGAAAATTATCAACCTACAGAGGACTGAATTCAAAAACACTGTGAAAATCAAAGTGAAAAAATGATGCAGCAGGCTAGTCCATTTTGCTGAAATTTCATTGCAGCAACTCAAAATGGTACTCAGTAGTTTGTATGGCCCCCATGTGCTTGTATGCATGCCTAACAATGTTGGGGCATGCTGCTAATGAGATGACGGATGGTGTCCTGGGGGATTTCCTCCCAGATCTGGACCAGGGCATCACTGAACTCCTGGACAGTCTGAGGTGCAACCTGGCGGCATCAGATGGACAGAGGTTTTCTATTGGATTTAGGTCAGACGTGCATAGGGGCCATACAATGGTATCAATTCCTTCATCCTCCAGGAACTGCTGGCATACTCTCACCACATGAGGCTGGGCATTGTTGTGCACCAGGAGGAACCCAGGACCCACTGCACCAGCGTAGGGTCTGACAATGGGTCCCAAAGATTTCAAGAAGCAGATACCGGTCCTGCTGATGGGTTAAGGACTTTCTACGGCCCTGTCCAGCTCTCCTAGAGTAACTGCCTGTCTCTTGAAATCTCCTCCATGCTCTTATGACTGTGCTGGGAGACAAAGTAAACCTTCTATCAGTGGCACATATTGATGTGCCATCCTGGAGGAGTTGGACTGCCTGTGCAACCTCTGTAAGGTCCAGGTATCACCTCATGCTACCAGTAGTGACACCAACCCACCCAAATGAAAAACTAGTGAAAAAAAACAGTCAGAAGATGTGAAGGAAAAAAATGTCAGTGGCCTCCACCTGTAAAACCATTCCTGTTTTGGGAGTCATCTCATTGTTGCCCATCTAGTGCACCTGTTGTTAATTTAATTAAAACCAAAGCAACTGCAACTGATTAACAACCCCCTCCGCTACTTAACTGACCAGATCAATATCCCAGAAGTTTAATTGACTTGATGCTATACTCTGATTAATAAAGTGTCACTTTAATTTTTTTGAGCAGCGTTTTATATATATATATATATATATATATATATATACATACAGTATATATATATATATATATATATATATATATACACACACATACACACACACTATATTACTAAAAGTATTGGGACACCCCTCCAAGTCATTGGATTCAGGTGTTCCAATCACCTCCATGGCCACAGGTGTATAAAATCAAGCACCTAGGCATGCAGACATTTGTGAAAGAATGGGTCTCAGGAGCTCAGTGATTTCAAGTATGGTACCATGATAGGTTGCCACCTGTGCAATAAGTCCATCTGTGAAATTTCCTTACTGTTAAATATTCCACAGTCAATTGTTAGTAGTATTATAACAAAGTGGAAGCAACTGGGAACAACAGAAAATCAGCCATCAAGTGGTAGACCACTTAAAATGAAGGAGCTGGTTCAGCACATGCTGAAGTGCACAGTGCGCAGAAGTCGCCAACTGTCTACAGAGTCAATAGCTGAAGACCTCCAAATTTCATGTTGCCTTCAGATTAGGACAACCACTGTGCGTAGAGAGTTTCATGGAACGGGTTTCCATGGCTGAGCAGCTGCATCCAAGCCTTACATCACCAAGTGCAATGCAAAGCTTCGGATGCAGTGGTGTAAAGCACACCGCCACTAGACTTGAGAGCAGTGGAGACGTGTTCTCTGGAGTGACAAGTGTACAATTCAAATATACACGTTCCTGCGTTAAAAATGGCTGTGTGTATAAGTGGGTGCTGCAGCGACCATCGGCTGGAACCAAACAGAATCAGCAAGGGAAAATGTCACTAGCACACCAATTTCACCAATATGGGTCCAAAAGTTTTAATGAACGATCACATAGTTACAGCAAGGCAACGTTTCAGAGTCTCACAGGATCCCTTCATTACCAATGGACGTGTCTGGATTTATTGGTTGCCAGGAGAAGGGTACTTGCCTGACTGCATTGTGTCAAGTGTAAAGTTTGGTGGAGGGGGGATTATGGTGTGGTGCTGTTTTTCAAGGGTTCCAGCGAAGGGAACTTTTAAGACGTCAGCATGCCAAGACATTTTAGACAATTTCATGCACCCAATTTGTGGGAACAGTTTGGGGATGGCCCCTTCCTGTTCAAACATGACTGCGTACCAGTACACAAAGCAAGGTCCATAAAGACATGGATGAGTGAGTTTGGGGTGGAGGAACTTGACTGGCCTGCACAGAGTTCTGACCTCAACCCCATAGAACACCTTTGGGATGCATTAGAGCAGAGACTGCTAGCCAGGCCTTCTCATTCAACATCCGTGCCTGACCTGACAAACATGCTTCTGGAAGAATGATTAAACATTCCCATAGACAAACTCCTAAACCTGGTGGAGGGCCTTCCCAGAAGAGTTGAAGCTGTTATAGCTGCAAAGGGCGGGCCAACTCAATACTGAATTCTACGGACTAAGACTGGGAGGACATTAATTTCATGAGCATGTAAAGGCAGGCGTCTCAATATACTATATATATGCAATTTCTGATCAAGCCCTTTAGCGACAGGCTAATAATGGCATTATTTTTTTGAGGTGAAAACCTCACTAATTCTACTGATGTTTAGGTATAGTTGTGTAATGCCCTCCAATGTAGATAGGGACTTTTTTTGTACAGCTAGAGGCTTGCTAGAAGCCTGGGGTATGAGTCAGCATGAGAGTGAGTCAGCAAGGTTACTTCAGGTTAATGCTGGAGGGCTCTACATGTCAGTTCTTTGATACCTCCCCCTGCTCTAGAGACTCGGAAATGTTTCTAGAAGCCAGTAGGCAGTGGTGAGGAGGGGCTGATCAGCATACTTAGGGGAGTCTGGCCAATCCCCAGGAAGGAGGCCTGGCATATAGACTAGGTCAGCCCTAAATATGACAGAGCCTGGCCAGCAAGGGAGTCGGGAAAAGTACTTCTACACCCTCTGGGTCTAAAAGACAGAGGGCGCTCAGGTGCAATACCCAACTAGTTCTCCCTGGGACTGTATTATTTTGTGTGTCTTAGAATCCCTTGCCCTGGGATACTCTCAATACAGCCAGGTGGATGAGGAGATTTTTATCTAGGGTCTGAGGAGATTAATTTAAGGGAACCAATTTTCTCTTTGTAAAAAAATTGTGTGCTGATTCTTCAGAAGATGAGAGCCACTCCTGAAAGAGTAGAGAGACTAGGATCTGTTCTTTTAAAATGTTTGCTAGATTTGTGCCTTTTGTACCTAAGAAGTTGTGCTCCAAGTTGTTTCAGTTCCATTGGGCATCCCATATATCCCTAGACCCTATCCAAGTTGTTAACCCCTAATAAAAAAAACAAAAAAAAACAAGCTCATGGACTATATACTGACTTTGGATGAAAGTATGGAAAATGCGTGTTGCCTGGCTGTGCAGAGCTTAGGGGGACTCAAAAGGGTAGTGCTACGGTTGTCTTCTGTGTAACATGAAAACTGAACTAAAATCAAAATGAATAAAATGTAATTACTTTTGATAGTCTGATTTTTTTTCTTTAGTGAATTTTTCAAAAGAAAAATGCCACTTAAAGACTATATCAAGTCAAGGTTTTTGGCCCCCTATAGCATAGGGGAGGGTTAGGCAGGTCATAGATGGAGCAAATTTCTTTCATGCAACCACAGTGTTGACAGGGAAATCCATCCCATGGAGCCATTGTGTTCTCCCAGAGGGGAGGGGCAAGGGAAGCCATCCCTGCTGGGAGAACACAGTCATTATTGCTATATATATAAAATGCAGCGCTCTAAGAAAATAATGAGAAGTATAAGTGAGACACAGTCCAGTAAAAAAGTGCTCCGTGATTCCCCGTGCAAATGGTAGAAATTTGCACTAACCAGAAAGCGTATAAGTAATACGCATATGTATATATATCTCCTGAAGACTCCCCTCTCCTCTCAGGTCTGGTCAAAGGGATGGCTGGGAAAGGTAGAAATCCTACGCCCTCTTGTGGTGAAAATATGGTCCAGCAGGTCAGAGAAGTATCTGGATAAGCCTCACCCTTCACAGGAACTGACACAGGGATCACTTAGGGCTGTAAGGATTGAAAAAGCTCCTCACAGGAGACATAGGGAAGCACTCATAGTGTAGTAGGTAAAACTTTTATTCCAAAACACAGGTGCATGATGAACATGAAATAGCCAAGTATGGATGAACACACTGACCCTTATAGAAATCAAGGTGGCCGCCGGGCCTCCTCGTGGCACCGGCGGCTTAGTGTCAACGGCGTCCTGGGCTCCAGCTGACGCGTTTCGTGCGCACGCACTTCTTCAGTGGTGGAACATAGGACTGCCGTGACTATCTCCTCGTACATATATGTCGTATCTAGCGCATGCGCACTGGTACGGCGCCATCTTGCTGAAGTCCGGGCGTCTGTATTAGCCAAGTGCGCATGCACGGGTGCCATTTTACCATGGATAAAAAGGTGCACACAGGCAACGAAGATGCGGCTCCGTATGGCTGGAGCCCGGACGTCCGTGTTGCGCAAAAGCGCATGCGCGGGCGCCATTTTGCCGTGTGCCTGTAATGCAGTTTACCCAGCCCTGCCAAGAACTAAAATCACTGGTGCCCAACTTCATTGACGCTATAAAGCGACTTTAAATAAGTGGTGCTATAATGAAAACAACTTCTAAATTTTGCCATGTCTAAAAATTATATGTGGTTTGATAGCAATTATTATCTACAGGTTAAGGGGGTCGCCATGGGGGCAAAGTTTGCCCCCAGCCTGGCCAATCTGTTTATGTCCTACTGGGAGGAGGATAATATTTACGCTATGGACTGGCCCAAATTACTTTTTTATAAGCGGTACATTGATGACGTGCTTCTATTTTGGAACGGCACGGAACAGTCCCTTATTAATTTTTTTACCACTCTCAATAATAACACAGTGAATATTAAATTGTCATATAACTATAGTAATATTGAAATCGACTTTTTAGATTTCACTTTATTAAACTCTGATGGGCATATTACTACCAAATCCTTTTTTAAGCCTACTGATCGTAACAGTTTCATCCCCCTTGGAAGCTGCCACCATCCTAGTTGGTTGGCTGGCATACCGAAAGGACAATTCCTCAGACTCAGGAGAAACTGTACCAATATTGATACTTACGGTACACAGGCCAACATCCTTAAAGAAAGATTCCTTGAAAAAGGTTATGATAGGGAGAATTTGAATGATATCATGGAATTAATAGCTAATACGGATAGACAGGAATTATTAGGCACTCAAACTAAACCACCTAAAAATCTGGTTTGCCCATTTATCACGACATTTTCGGTCCAACATAGGTCTATAAAACACATAATGACTAAAAACTGGGGGATCCTGAAGGCCGATTCCACCCTTGCCAAGGTACTTCCGGACAAACCTGAGGTCATTTTCCGCAAATCATCTACCTTGCGGGACAAAATAGCTCCCAATGTTGTCACTATGCCCATACCACCTCCCACTTTTTTTAATCACACAGGTTTTTACCCATGTAACAAATGTATCGCCTGCAAATGTAACGGTGTGAGGAAAAGAAGGATAGATACTTTCACCTCTAACCAAACTAAGAGATCGTATAATATTGATAAATTTATTTGCTGCAATAGCAGATATGTTGTTTATTTATTAGAATGCCCCTGCCTTAAGCAATACATTGGGAGGACAACCAGGCGTCTTAGGTATCGCCTTCGGGAGCGTGTCAACAACATTAAGAAGGGGTACAAGGAACATTCCTTGTCCCTCCATTATAGGAAACACCATCATAGAGACCCCACTAGTCTGAGATTTGTTGGCATCGATATAGTAACTTCACACTGGAGAGGAACTTTTAAGACCAGGGCTGTCTCGCAACTAGAGACAAAACACGTTTTTGAACTGGATACTTTATATCCTGCAGGTCTGAACATTGAACTGGATGTCAACTGTTATATTGACAATAGTTGAATCCACGATGCTCAGCTGACCATGCTGATAACACCTTTTATCATGAGAATTATCTCCACATGTTGGTGGGGTATTGACTATATCTCCACTTCATTTTCTTTATAATTATGCATTATTTCAGTTTTACATTTATACACATATCTAGGATGGATAAGAGGACTGGATTAGATCTTATCTCCGGTTTTCCTACATTTATTGGGATATTGTAACTAATATTTTTTGCCATTTGATATATGCGTTTATATGACACTAGACTCGACTTTAAATAGGCCTTTCCACATACATTGGGCTAGTGCCAATCGCATCATGATTCTTCCCATCTTTTATGACCTTTTATGATATATGTTTATGACATATGCGTTTATTATTTTGTATATAACATTTACGGTTTTAGTCACCACACATGGGTCTTGGTTTTTGTTTTGTTTAATTTCCATGTGACATGTATTTTATAGATCCTATTACAATGTAGTTTTACCATGTTTCCTTTCGCCCTGTACATGGGATTATTTCCTGTGTATACGGCTTGACATTTAATGTGATCAGTATATTAAGTTTTTACCACAACCATGAGTTTGGTTTCGTTCTGATTTTAATGTGATATGTATTTTAAGACCCCATTAGAACGCTGTTTTACCATGGTGCTTTTTTGCCCTACATATAGGAATACTTCCTATGTATATGGCTTGATATCTAATTTGATTGGTATATGAATTTTAAC